ACCACAAAAGGGTGGATCCAATGCTAATACTGAGGTATGGAAGATGAGGAGTATTATCTTTGTTTTCACTCAAAGGACACAGCATTTAAAAAATAAGTTAAAATATCCCTGTGATCATGCCAGTGTGAATGGGACAGCAGCTCAACAGAGCAAAAGACAAGTGTCCTAATATCAGTTGGTTAAAACTTGTGTGGCAGTGATTCCCTTTGCAGTTTCATCACTGAGGGTGACATCTACTTGGAAATACCATTTCATTTTCTGCCAGGTTTTAGGATACCTTCACAACCATATTCAACTTCTACTGTAACTGGCACTTGCAACTCAGTATTTAAAACCAGTTTCATAAACTTCCCATAGTCCTAACAGCATGTGTACTAGCAGAGCACTAACCATCTTTTGTAATTAATTCCTATTAACACTATGCACATCCACTATCTTTGAATAATTATTGTAAGCTTTCTGATTCACCATAGTCATGTAAGACAACCTGCTGCCAAAAATGTCATAACCAAATCTATCCTTATGCAACTGCCTGGAAGTGTGCCCTTTCCACGCTGCTACAAATCCGAGTAATCTGCAGCAGTCACATTGTTCCTTTTGATGAACTTCCACTTCACACACCTTGTGAATTCAAGGCCCACACCTCCCCTCTGCCTACTGAGGCCAAGCAACCCTCATCTTGTGCATGGCCACTCAATAAACAAGTCTCAAAGGCTGGTATCTATTGCCACTGAGGTAGATAGCAGACTTCTCAGTAGCTTCTTGATGCCAGACAGACTGCTTAGGTTTACCTTATATTTAAACCTTCACTTAAATAGTTCCCTTGGGGGTAAAGCAGGCAAAACTTCCTGAAAGACTCCAGAAGGTCATCAGCACAACCAGTAGTTATCCTGCAGGTGGAGATTTGGCACCGATACACAAATGATACTTAAGTGCAAAAATGCCCTCAAGGAAGTAGAACACCCCCCCTAAAATTACAAGATTTACCAGAAATGTATCCCAGAGGGAACAAAACAAGAACAGTGTACCTTCAGTAACTGGATTGTTGACAAAGGACCTGAGGGGAAAAAATAAACCTAGTGACATTCAAGACTTGCTTACACATGCAAAGAATTTTTCTGTTTCTCTCTTGCACGTATTCCTAGAAAAATATTTCTCCTGTGCTGAACAAGATCTCTTCATCCACACCCACCCACCTAGATTACAGGATCAGACCACTACCCCTCCTGCCATGCTCAGCTCTGCCCCGCCACTCCCTCCGGATTGTCTTCCACAGAACATCATTGCTGTGCAATCACTGCAGAGTAGTCACACATCACTCCTGCGCTCAGCCACGAAGAAACTTTCATCCAACCTCATTGTGGGATGGCCCACACCTGCTGCAGTAGCAACACTCCTCCCTCTTGGGAATAACATGCAGTCATCTATAAAATGACAACAAATAGAATCACAAAAATTCTCCAGTACTGTTCTCCTCTCTTATTCTCAATTGTTCTAGATGCATCTGACATACATACATGACTTGCTTCATCTCCAATGATTATGAAGCTCCTCATGTTAAGAGTTCACATATTCCAACTTCTTAAAGAACATACCTGACAAATACACCTATATATAGCAGTAGAAACTAGGAGGGTTTTGGTTTTTAGAAATTAGATTTTTTTTTTTTAAAATTCTTTTAAAGAAAGCTTCAAATGCCCTTCAAGCTTTATCTCAGGATGGGGCAAAAGTTTTTGTTCTACAACCTTTATTTTGCAAGGAACTACAGTAACATTTTATATTCATTTTAGAAATAGACTGAAGACTTTGACAAGATCACTCTTTCCAGTCACTGCATTGTCATTTTAAATTATATTGCTATCCATTAAATTGTTCATTATTTGAAGATTCATATCAGATAGCTCAGAACCTGAAATTGTTCAGTATAAATTCAGGTTTTATGGGCTTCAAGTCTGAAATTTATTTCTGAATGAGAATCAAAGCAGTGATAAAACAATTTCTACGAGTTATACTACTGTAACATAAATGCAGCACTAAAATTAAGCACAATTGCCTCACACACTCAAGTTTATTTTTTGAGCATGAATTTAAATTACCAGCTTTATCCTTATCTTAGCAGGTACGCAAATATGATTTTCCATTCATATTTGGGGGGGAGGGACTAATTTGTATCAATAGACAAATTTGAAATGCAGTGTTAGTTATTTTTCAACAGAACTCATTTATAGCCATTTTGAAGGTGCTTATTTTGCTGCACTAGTCAAACACCTGGTAGTCTCTGCCTGTTACATATGAACTACTTTATTGCTAATACTGTGGCGCACCATGAAGAGAGTAATGTATCAAAACAGTTTACTTCTCATATTGTCCATTTTTTTATAGGAAAACTATTAACTATTTCATTCTGGTCTATTATAAATGTAGAATTGGATATTACAGAAGGCAGTTGCTGGCAATTTGGCAAGCCAATTTGGTTATAACTAGACAAATAACAGCTTTATGGCAAGTTCAGTTTCCAAATAAAGTAAAAAGTATGTTTATTACAGAGAACAGCACTGAAAAATTCTTGCCTTTACCAAAAATAATGGCACCGAACATTCTAGTGCATCTCCTGACCATTAGGTGTGCAGCAATTTAACCAGCAGTGAAACTGTTCTTCACATTTAACTACAGATATAACAAACCTTAAACCAGGAGGATGACAGAGTTCTTGCTATACCAAACTTTGTGCTTTGATCTGCATTTAGAAGTTAACTGCCTTATTTAATATAAACATAGTGGGCTAAATTATTGCTTTAAATCTGATAATAATCATTGGCCCTGCAGTATGCCAGATACAATGATAAAAGCAAAAGTACGAGTCCAGTAAGGCAGCCAGGTCAAAAGCAATAAATTTAGAAGATACATAGGCTCCCATTTCAGATTATTTTCCTCTTTCTCATCTGATGACACCTTACCTTTATGGAATACAGAACAGCCACCTGTTTCTCAGTTCATAGCCTCTTTAGGGTAATATAAATTTTGAATAATTGCAATAGATATTTAATCAACATTGTGGTTGTTGAGGCTTGGTGTTGTGATGTATACCTTAGGTTGTAGGACTGCTTTGACTTTAAAATATGTACTCCCTTGAACATTTAAGTGATCTTATTTTTCCCTTCTAAACCTACATTAAGAAAAAAAAAATCCTACGAGTATACAAAAACAACTCCAAAACCAACTCAAACAAAAAAACCTTTTCTTATTCCACTAGAAATTTAACTTACTTGTTATTTATCCAAACAGGGGATCTTTATTGTCTTGCTAGTCCTTTTCCCTGTTTTTATTTTTGGCAGTTATGAACAGACCAAATAACTCTCAAATTTTCAAGAGTTGAGCAAAATGTATCAAAACAACTTAATTTTCACTGCTGTTTAGTGCAAGGGTTAATTTTCCATTAGCATTCCCGTTAAACGCTTGCATCTCATCTGCAGTTCTCTGTTCAGAAAAATCTGCCTTTGCCATTTGAAGAGACAAACTACCAGGCATAACCTTGGGCTGACATATGCAATTAGCCAAAGGTCAGTCAACGGTAGGGAAGCAGCAGGAAGTGACAACCAAGAGAAATTATATTAAGCTAAGGAAAGGGGAACCTATAACTACTCAAGAGTAACTTTTTTTTTTTTTAATCATTCATTAATTCTTGTTTCTGACATACCTGCCTTCTTTTAACTTAAAAAAACAGTCTATCCTTCCCCCTCCTTTTTTTTTTAACGTACCTTGAATTACCCACCTGTTACACACCACAAAGGACAAAAACCCCTTTCAGGGATCCCTCCAAACCTTGTGTTCAAGTGTAGAGCAGCCAGTCTTTAAATACTGATGATGTAAGTTTCTTTCTGGCAAAGTTGCAGTACCTGGCACTTTCAAGCGCCACTTCACAACTAAACTACTTACATACTTCCTGAAGGCACTCCGTGGATCACCAGCTGCCCATGAAGACTCTCACTACATACATCTGTGTGTGACCATTTTCATTTTAGAAATGTGTTCTAGAACTTCATACAATACTTTGACGATTTCTCTGAGAAACTGACACGTAGAGAAAAAATATAGGAAAGCAAAACATTTACAAAGCACTTTTGAAAAGCCAGAAATATTAAGTGAATCAGCAGGATGTGCATTTTACTACACTCCACCCAAGTAGATCTTCTGTTGTTTAATGCTTCAAAGGAAATTCTGGTATTGAGCTGAATCTCCTAACATGGTTGAAACAACGGAATAATTTTGACCCAAAATTATTAAGCCAGGATATCGTGCCATTAGTTTAAGGACCCACCTTTTGCCCATCTTTTAGGCATTTAGTAAAAGGAGCTCTCGTAAAATAAGTTCAGAGAACTGTGTCTTCTGATGCTCATGCCCAGTTCAAGAACTCCAACTGTCTAGTCAGGTTAAGGCAACTGATCTCTGGGTGATCCAAACTAAACAATCAGAGTATACGCACACACACACAGAGCAACAAAACCCCCATAAATTGACAAATGCTTAGAAACAGCACTTTGATGATTCTGTGAAAAAGTTCACACAGTTCAACTTCCCGTGACTGCAGTTTCTAAACTGACAGGTTTTCAATAGGGTCCATCAGAAAGCAAACCTGAAGTACTGTGTAGGACTACCAAATACATATCTCTGAGTAACATTAAGAACTTCTCATTGGCTACAGTTTTTGTTACAGCCCTCTGCCTTCAATCACCAAAAGCGGAGAATTACTTTAAATTTTCTTCCAAAATTGAGTTTATGCTGCAGGGAACAGCCTCCACTTCTGTGGGTGTAGCAAGCCTATCAAAAAAAATGCATGTGACATTTATCTCAGTGCAGGTCTTAACTCCTGTTCCACTTAGCATGGAGGGTTTTGGTAATCAAGCTTCAATTTTTAAGTGTAGATATGCTTGGCTTCTTTTCAGTTTTAATTAGAAAAGGCAACAGGAGATTTCTTCCCAAAGAATAAATAGAACACTAGGTCAGGCAAAAGTCATTTATTTATTGGCTTAAACAAGCAAAAGGTATCCTCAGACATAATGGCTACCACTTGAGCAATACAAATCAATGCTACTGAAGAACAGGAACATCTTTTCTTTGACCCCTCCCATCCCAGAAGTAACAATTGAAATACCAGGGCCTCTAGAGAAAAGAGAAGGAGAAAAATCGTAAAAGGCGCTTAGAATGAGCTGCAGAGTTGAAACATGGACACTAAAACTCATTAGCTAATCTACCACATCATCACAATCACCTCAAAAATAACTTTCATTGTTCCATTTCTACCAGGTAACAAATATATAGCGCTGTTTAACAGCGATTTCAATGTATTAACAACTGTCCTCAGCTGAAGCAGAACAGTAATTACTATTTATATTAAATTTGAGGCTGCAGATAGAAAGAAGGGTTTCCACAGAGTACAATGCAAGTTAATGAAAAGAGAGTGGGGGAGAAAGAAAGCTTCTTTTAAATTCCTGTATGTCTCCATCAAACAAGCAAGTCATCCTATACTGGTAACTCACTACAGACGCAATGTCCTGACAGAGTATGGCAACTCTGCTCACCCTGTGACAGTGTACCTGATGAATGTATCTATGAAGGATGTATCTGTAAGTCCCTTAGGTTGTGGGCCACTGAAAATCCCATTTTGCTACTCCCATGTGGGTGGGTTTTAATCAGACATACGTGAAAAAAGCAAACAGACTGCATGCAAAACAACTGTTACTAAATCATTTAGTCTTCCTTATAACAGTCGAAGATATGAGTAAGGCATTCCTCAGACTCAGAGAAAACATTAGGAGGCTGTAGTTTTGCAGGCAAGGAGACCTTTTATTTTAATCCATTAAAAGAACCCAAAATAGTCAGCAGGTGGCCACATCTATCCATGTTTCATTAAAATCACATAAACCCTAAGTACAAAAGCACCACTGATTATTGCTCTAGAAAAACTGCATGAAAAATTCAAATACGCACAGTAAAAACATCACCATATGCACAAGACTTAATTTCTTAGAGCAAGTGTATGGAATGCTGATCCAATTTTACACATACCTTGCAATATTAAGTTGATATTTATATTACTTGGCAACAATGGGAATTTCTAAAAGCACTGTTATGAGAAGGGAAATGTTCATATACAGTTTAATATGTCAACTATCATAGTCCTAAAAAAATTAGCATTTACAAAATACTTGATAAAAATATCTTTTAAAAGTTGTCCAAGAGGTACATAAAATCAACCCAAAATTTTCATGATATTTCATTCATTCTTGTCACCTACAGATTCAGTTTTCTGAGCCTGTGGAGAAGAAAGAAAGAGATTCAATTACTATAGTAAATTGCCATTATGCACTTAAATACCCAAACTATCCTTATTCCTTTGGCATTTCTTACTTGCAACAGCTCCGTTTCAAACCTATGTCCACATGGCATTTATGCAACTGGAACAGGTACAGTCACACACTTTTCTTGATTTATTGGTCCCAGCTTTTCAAAAGCAATACAAGCCTTACCTGTCAGCCTCCATGGTTCATACAGAAAAGCACCACACTACCACCTGTTTCTATTCACTGCACACATGCTGAATGCTCTACCGCACCCTTAACTTTCACTGTTTCAATCTGCCCTTTTACTGACAGTGTGCTGGGTGGGGCACCTCTGGATGTTGAAACACTAACAGTTGAGCGAGAGATGCGAATCTGCAATAACATTATGGGCAATAAAAAGAAACATTATGAACATGCTAGCAAATGTCTGAAAGGCTGAATAATTAAAAAACACTGATTCAATCAGCAAGAGGTATGTGTGGAAAGTACCTCTTCAGCTTTATTTTCACCATTTTCAGATGGTGTAGTACCTTCCTTTGCAGCTTCTTGCTTTTCATCCTTCTTCCCTTTAGCACCTTTGCTGGCCTTTGTTCCAGGTTCCTTCTGACAGAAGATTAAAAACATGGGCATAGATATTGTATGAGTAGCCAGAACCCTACATCTTTATCAAAAAAACCCTTTTACACAAACTAAACAGCAAATCTTGGCAAACTGCATGTGAAGGACTAAAACAGAGAACCAGCTAAAGGCTACCTGGAAAATGTAAATCCACAGAACTTATAGAGACTCTCAACATTTCTAGGAAATGGTGGTGTCTGCATCTTTAATGTTTCTTCTTATTTTTACAGGGATACAAAACCACATCAGACTACTTTGGTATTGCTCAGCTGTATTATACAGAGGTATATACAAGATATCTGTGTGAACAAATCCAATTACAGTACATGAAAGTTACTTGAAAGCTTATTCAGCCAAGCAAAAACACCACACTGTTTGTGTAACAGCATTACATTTTCGATTAACGTGAAATATTAAATTAGATTTTAAAAATTAAGCTTTTTTGTTGGCTGTCCTTTTGTTACTTTGATAACGTCTGTGATGGTAATACCATGTCAATGAAAGAACCAACCAACACACTAAGGTGGCAAACACCGATAAAATTCCATCTGCAATAGCACAAAGCAGAATTTATCAAAAGGAACTATTCTAACAGCTACAGTTTTAGTTGGAGATTTGCTCTTAAACAATTCATATGTTGATGTCTACTATTTTTCATAAATCCTTGCTCTACATACCTATTTACGTTTGCAATCTAAAGGTTAGTAGCGATACAGGTTAAGGATTTAAAGTGCAATGGGATAAAAATTTAAATGGTATTGCATTTAATATTTTACATTAGTATTTATAGCAGTTGTGATAAACACTGGAGATCTTTCATGGGATCATTTGCTCTAAATTCTCCATGCAAAATAGCAATAATAGCTGTGAACGGGGATATTAAGGTCTGTCTCCCTTCATTAACTACCTCTCCCCACTGATCCCATAGAGGAGTAGGGCAGTGAGGAGAGAATGCCATTAATCCTAGTTCCAGGGCAGCCTGAATTACTCCTTCCACCCCTCAGCTTCAAGGTTACACAGCAGCTGTGGTGCATCATTTGGAAGCTCACTGGTGCTATGAGCATAATCCTAATTCTGATCACTTAAAAAAGAGCAAGCTAAGATGTTGCCTTAGTAAATTCATAATGTTCAAGCTTTTAACACTAAAAATGATCCCAAATCTGTACCATCTTTGGTTGTTTGCTAGCAGGCTCAGAGTACACACTTTTGCTGTTTTCTGTTTAGGACACCAAGATTAATATGCTCCTTAAAATGTGATCCAGTTAGACTTTGGAAAAAAAGAGATTATCATATTAAAGAGTTACTTAGAGTAATGTCATAAAGGATTCGAGTCATCTGAAATGAGTTTCAAATGTCTCTCATCCAACCTAGACTGAGTCTGTAACACTGAGATCATCTCACATGTACTTGAAGCTATGGAAGCTACCACATTCCCTTCCTTATTGATTCTCTTTTTAAGAGGGGAGCAGGATGGACCCAGAAAGACTTTACTGGTAATTTAATTTGATAAATCACAAAGTGTTCAAAGTCAGAGCTTTACTTCAACATACAGACTTTGTATCCTGGTACTTGCCCAACTGAGATGCCAATAAAAGGACTTGAAAAATGTGAGGAGTGCTAAACTCAGTTTCCAACATATGGGGTGGGTTGTTTTCTTCAATAAAGCAGTTGCTCTTATTTAACATCCCCCTTAGGCACAAATAAATCTACAGTTTCAGAAGCACATGATTTATATGCAGAAATCCTGAAAAGGTATTTCAGACACTAACAGGATTTTAATTTGACTGTAAATGGCCTAGAAAACCCAAACCATTCAATTTAAATATATTTAATTTCACCTTCAATTATAATTGTGCATTCTCAACCACAGTCAAGGCTTCAAGAACAGATAAGAGTTTCTCACTACAAAATGAAGTACTGCCCCTCTAGACAAGAAAACAGGATGGCAGTGAGTAATCTCAAATCCTTGTGTAGAAATTGCCAGGTCTCAGGTAGAGTTTACTCAACCAAACTTGTACTTTTCAGGAAAGGTGTAGGAAAGGTAAAAATTCTTCTTAAACTAGCCATTCACTAAAAACTAACATGGTCTGCATATCAAACAGGCAAGACATTTTCTTTGGGCCAATAATGAGGCCAGGAAGGGGTGGAACAAAAAGAAAAGAATGATCTAATCTGTGGGTTTTTTTCCAGGGAGGAGTGGTAGGGAGCTGCAGAGAGGGCAGGGGAGCCAATGCCTCCAAAAATGCTGTGAATTGAACTGTTTGCAATGCAAAGAAGGAGTATACTTGCTTACTATTGGCTGCAATGACGGTAACTAAAAAGGAAGTTATTTACCTTTGTTGTTTTCCTTGGTTTGGGTTCAGGTTTTGGTGGAGCAGGTTTCTATAAAACATTTTTAGTTGCACAGCGTGTTAGACACATTACTGGGAGTCAATCAGCCACCTCCACATCCCACTTGTCCCCACCCCACAGCTTCCCTTACTTCCTGCTCAGTAGTACCAATCTAGAAAGAGCCTGAAAAGCCTTTATGCAAAAATGGACCTCATCCATATTCACAGATGTTTGCAGGAGCTCACTTATCGAGAAATGAAAAGTAATTTGGGGGTCATTCTAGAGTAAAACGTGGAGATTAGTAGTAACTATTAAAAAAAACCCAACACCACAAACCATCAGCTATGTCCTAACAGAGAAGAGGAACTAAAACCAAATACTAGTAATGGCATCAAATTCAGTCCGTGAAAGACAGTTCTTTCTCCTTCCCAGAAAAGTAGCTGATTTCCACAACTAACATGAGCCTGCAAAATGATACAAAGTCAATACTGCACCCAACAGACAGTGGGGAAATACACTTTTGTCAGAACAACCTGAAGCCAAGGAAACACAGATAACTTCAGTGCTAGAGTTCTTAAATACCCCTCAGCAAGAATAAAAATTGAATCAAGGAAAATGTAACAAACGTGTTTGGTCTGAGAAACTGTAAGTGCCTAGAAAAGAATATACCAAGAGGTGCTCTACATACTTACAGCTGACAGTCTTGCTGATCGCCTTGTGGGCTACAAGGGAGAAAAAAAAAAAAAGAGGAAACATTTGTATAGGCTTACAGCAAAAAGTATCCAAAACGACATAGTATCAGTCATTTCACACAGCATAAAATACGTCTCTACCAAAATATGTGTCTACTGCCAAGCACAATTCGCATCTTCCTCACTTTGGACACTCAAAATTTTAAATGGACAAAGTGACGTGAAAATTAGAAATTAAAGTTGTTCAGGAATTATAACATTTAAATCTCCGTACAATTAAATACTTCACACACACATCCTTTTACAAGTACTTCTGAGCCCTTTCTGTTTTATGGAAAGGTTCATAAATACCTTGACTACTCGTGCATGGGACTCTGAACCTTTCTCATACATACTCAGAATTATGTTTCTAGAATCTAGTAGACGTTACTTGTAGCAGTGGGTAAAAATACCATCTGATTAACAGCTGAATGAAGTTAATGTCCTTCTCTAGAGGCTATCAGAGTGCTAAAATTTCAAAATATGAAACTAATTCCTTCTACTTCCTCAGTTCCCTGCACACTCAGTCTGAGTCCAGGTGCACAAAGACAGCTGCAGGATGAGATGGAGAAATTGTCTTTTCTATTTAAACACAATTCTGAAAAGGAAAGAATCAAGCCAGGTATTCTGTTTCTCTCTATCTTTCTTTATCACTTCAACACACTTTCCTTACTAGATTTTATTTCATTCTGTTCTTTGTCATAAATTTATTACTGCAGTTAGGTTTTAGAAATAGTTGTTAGCTCTTTAGTTTGTTCACAGTATTTTTGTATTAATTAAAACAGATTAACCCAGTTACACAGTAGAGTTATTAAAGCTAAAGTGAACTAAGGTTTGGTCTGTGTCATAACACTGGAATCGCACCTGCAGCCAAAATCAATGGACAACTCAACTGCAACAAATATTTAACATAACACAGCTTAAAAAATTAATCAAAAATATAATCTTAATTACATATTAAGATTTAATTCGAGCTGGAAAAACATGTCTCCACACACCCTGCAACAAGAAAAAGCTGTTGTTAATATCTGAAGAAAGCACTAATTTGTATTCATTGGAGGCATTTAGGTATTCTTAATGGAAAGCAGTAGTGAATAGTTCAAATCTGCATCCAGCAAAATAGAATTCCTGTCAAAAAGCTCCTAAAGATATTTTCAGCTATGCAATATTTATGCATCATTAACAAAAAAAAAAAAAGGTAAACCTCCCTTTTGTTGGCAATTCAGAATATCAACTGCTTGTTAAGCAGCCTAGCATTATTTTACAACAGGTTAAACAAAGCATTTCAGTTGGTCAGGTAATCAAAGAACTCCTAGTGCAAGGTATTGTCTTTGACAAATCTGCTTTCTTAACCAATGATTTCTATGCTTCATCTTTTAGGAACTGACATGCTTTGTTAGCATCTACTTTTTAAAGGATAATATGCTGGTTCAGATAAATTATAATTCTCTCCCATATCTCCCAGCTGTTCCTGACTGTTCCATGACTTGTTTTATAGCAGGCATTTTTGCCATGAGAAAGTCAGCATAAACCAGAAGTTCTTAAAAAAGCCTGGCAGCTAAGTAATTTTAACTCTCATTTGGAGTTTGTATCTATTTTGTGTTATCTGATTATAAGGAGGGAACTAGAGCCAAGTCAGCAACAGTCACATTTTAATGTTATTTGGGAACCTTTGTCCCCCTATAAACAGCTGTACTAACCCAGACACCAGCAGCTCACCCAACAGTCTGTTTGACACTGGCCCACCAGCAAACATCTACAGAAAGAGTCTACAAGAAGGAGCAGACAGAACAACACTGCACTCTCCTACTGCATCAGCTTCTGGCTATCTAAAGTTGCCAGCTTTCCAACCTGGATATCATATACACATCGGGTGTTTAAATAGTCCCTAAGAGTTATTTTTTCCACAAATCTGTTTAATAACCTAGTACTCATTTACACTTTCAGTTTGCACAACATCCTGTGGCAGTGAATTCCATAATGGGATTATGCTCTGTGTGGAAAACAAAAAGCAAAACCTTACCCCTCTGTTGTCTTTCCTTTAAACTTTTTGCCTCTTACTTTCATTAGATTCTTCTTGTTTACAGGTTTCATGAGTAGTAATTCTCTAATTGCCTTTCTCTGTGATACTAATTATTTTATCACAACTCCATTATATAAAGATAAGAATCCTAGAAAACCTGTGTTGTTTGTTTTTGTAGTTTTGGTTGTTTGACTTTTTTTAAAAGCTGCTCTGCATCCTCTGTTTGTCACACTGTATTTGGTATCCTTTTAATTTTATTATGGCCTCTATCAGGAGAACTCCATTTAGTAGTCTCACATCTGAGAATGCAACAAACTAACCTTGTGATACACTGATGCTTATTCTGTCCTTTAGTATTTTTTCCTGTTTTCTAATTATTTTCTATTTAGAACTATTGACATTTTGTAGTAACTATTCATTGTGATTTTACAATCTCTCCCCCAATTAACAGCTGAATTGGTGACCACCACTGTCTTCCCCTCCCTCCAGGTATTAATTTGCATTTCTTCATACTGAGTTTCTCCTGATATTTTATCACTTATTTACCAGTCTCATCCTCTGTCACTTCTGACTACCCTGGTATTTTATGTAAGCTCCAGCAAACTTTGCCAGCAGTACAAGCCCAAACACAAATCCTTCCAATACTTCACTAATAAATCTCCTCCACTGTGAAAATGAACTACCACTTCTCCTTTCTCTTCTCATAAGTTTATATGTTACAAATTCTTAGGAAGATCTTCCATTTAATTCATGCTAGCTTAGTTTCCTTAAGAATCTGCCGGGAAGCCTTATAAAAAATTTTCTTTACAAGCAAGTAAACTATAGAGCATGCCAATATTTACCTGCTATTTTCCTGTTCAAATATACTTACAAGCAGAACTGTTAATTCTTAACTCATTTGAATAGTCACTCATTCTTTGCAAGATCCTGATTTAACTTTTTCTGCCACAAAAGATGAAAACCTAAGAAAACAAATTCTCATAACTCTCTACCTGTTGGTTTTTTGGTTTGTTTTGGTTTTTTTAAATTCACACTACAGGCTGTGACAAACAAACTAGCAAACCTTACTGTAGACATCAAGGTATCAGCACGTCTCCTTGCCTTCTCTGACAGAATTTACGGTGCCCTTAAACAAATTCATTTAAAGAAACCACACAAACATCTCAACTGCTCCAGTTTAGAGTCTGGTACCTTAATTCAAGACACTCTTCCATCAGTCACTTAGGCTAGAAATAGTTTTGAAGCAGACTGGCTGAGGTGGGTGCATTAGCCCTCTTCTGCCAACCCACTGGAGACAGAGCAACAGTTTCAGGCAGTTACACCCTTCACTATTGCCACAAGATCCACCAGAGCTTGTCTATCAAAGCTCTACATGTTTCTGAAATTTATCTGGTGTACTATTAAGTTCTGTAAATCCTCAGTGTGCCAAAATCGAATTATGTCAGCTAGGGTAAAAATGCAGTTTACTGTCATTATTCCCACTGAAAACATTTCAATAGAAAGAAACACATAATCTTCTGATGTGCAAGACTGCAGGTGTCCACTTAAATAATGCCATGCCAAAATAAATTTATTTATATACATATATATATATATAAACATATACTTGCCTCTTGTTTAGTTACTTTTGCTGCATCCTTGCCTTCAGCACCCTCTGGAGACTGAAAGAAAATATTAAGTCAGTGTTTTTATTACAGACTTAAAAACATGCAGGCAACAGCAAAACCAAGATTATGGTGAAGACTGTTCTTTCTATATATTGCAACAACTTAAAGAAGCCTGACAAATTTGTATTAGTATTTACAAGCAGCATTGTACCAAAACCAGTCTCGATTTTCCAAGCAACAACCTGAGGACAGAACACCAGGTACATACATATCGTAACACACACCTCCCTCAGCGGGCCCTCTAGCCAATTAACTAAAGCATCCACAGGCTCCAGTGGGAGTTCCATCTTATCAGCTGTTGGTAGCACAACAGTACGAACTGGAAATCTGAGGCTCAATGAGGGCTTTTGAAATCCCCAAGAAAATTACCACGTTTCTTCCCAAATACAAACTTAACTAGTTATGAGATGTGATGAGATGAACTAAAAAAAGCAGAGCATTACTGAAATGAATGACTTATTTACCTCAGTTACTCCTTTTTCATCTCAGCCCCACTCAGCTGGAAGTTTTAAAAGTATCTTTCCCTCATATCTCACCTCCTCCATCCGAAGAGCAAAAATTAGCAATACATTGATACACTGACAGGAAAACTAGTGACAAACATGTTTCTTCTCAAGAATGAAGTATCAGCCTGATACTTTATCAGCCTGACGGGCTAGTTTGCAGCAGTTGACCACTGCCTTCTCCTGGCATTGGGCTCTTAACATACTTACAGACAGACATCCCCCCACCAGGGAATAAAATGTGGCTTTGTTACTAAGTGCTCTCCCAACTGAAAGGAATCTTGCCACAAGAGCAGCTGCTTTAAAAAAAAAGCAGAGGACTGATCATCTAAGTAGCTTGAAAACAGCAGGAAGTTAAGCAGCACAGCGCAGCGCAGAGCAACTCAGAATAGCAACAGTCAGGCATCCAAAATGGAGCCTGACTGCTCCCGGTGCTACTGCAGCCTCACCAGTCACCTGCAGGATTGTTTCAGGCTTGCATTTCTAAAAGCCTTTCAGTTTGGTTACTAAAGAGTTGCTACAGCATTATGGTCTGATGCTGGGAGCATCAAAAGTTGTAAAGAAAACAAAAACAAGTAGTTCCATGTTCACTGTCAGTAGTAATAAGGTCTTGTTTCCTAGAACTTCAGCTCGTGATACAAGACGTGCTCTAGGTACAACTTTTCTGTAGTCCATGAATTCATAATATCTGTTTCTCCCATATGAATATTCTCAAGTCTAACAAACTTGGTCTGCACCCTTTCCCTGAGAGGGAACTTAAATAGCCTCCTTCATGTCCTAGGCACCTAGTTATATAGAAGTTCTCTGAGATTTTATAATCTTTTCCTCACGATGGTCAAGAGACATAAGATCTACAGCAGCAGGGACAGAAGGACAGCATGACTCCTTTTCTTTGGAAGCCAAGCTAAGAAACTCATCATAAACTAAATGAAACTGACTGACACTCCACAGTCAGGCTGTTTTACCCTGCTTCCCTTTTAGAAATCACAGAGCTTTGAGACAGGGCTAAACTATCCCAGGATGGCACTGCCACATAGCAATAGCCTTGCAGTAATTGCCCAGGAGCAAACTCTGTCTGCAATACTGTGCAGTTAACACACAGTAATTTACCCCATTCTCTTTAGCAGTAATGAATGAGAAGTCTCCTACACTTCTGATAGACACAGCAGTCTGATTTTAGATGTCAATACTATTGCTTGACAACATATTATAAAACGTTGCTCGTGAGGCTAACTGCAGGGGAAAAAAACTGTATTAAAAATACTCTGTGCAACCACAGCATCTGTGTACTAACTACTATGGATATATTGCACAACATACTTAAGTTAACTAATTAATTAGCTCAGCATTCCCTCTCAAGTTAGAAAATCCAACAGCAATTCTGAAGGCCACAACTTCCTCCATGGAGGGACATGCACAGTAATAATTTCAGCAGTGCAAATAAGCAGCAAGGGATCCTGACATGCTCTTATTTCCATTTCAGACCTGCTCCTTCCTCTCTGCAATCACTACAAGTCCAGGTGTCTGGAGGCTGCACTCATCCTCCAGGGCCTTGGCTCCCCAGTATGCCAGCAGAGCTGCACGGGAGGCTTTGTCATGAGTAAGGTAATTGATCCAGCTGAAAAATAGCCTGCTGCACAAACAAATGTAAAATATTATAATACATATACAAATTATAAATATATAGTCTTCCCTGCTCCGGCAGAATCATTTTACTGCACAGCTGCACAAACAATTAAGCCAGTACAACAGACAAGAATGAAGTGGCATGGGGCAGCTGCAGGCAGCCTGGGATTCCATCTATTCTATCTGTTTCAGCTAATAGACACACACACACACAAAAATATATGTCAGATATGGCTACAGTATATTTGTTAAGAGAGGAACAGAAACTTATTTTCCCCTCTATGGGTTCTGCTTAGACACTCCAATGAGTCCCAGCTGATGTGGTTCTTCATACTAATTTTTGCAGTACTTTCTCCTTTCCCTAGGGAAAAGAGAGATTTATACATGAATGGATTTGTGCCAAGCATAGTTCTCGAAGAACTTGGCATGCCACAAACACAGATTGTCTGCACTACTGTCTGGAGTCACAGGACTTCTATGTCAACACCACCAAAACCTTAAAAGTCCTTGCCCCTAACTCTTCCACAGGAACCCTTCCCATCTTTTGTCCAAGTGACAAACTACTGAAGGACCTCTGGTTTCAAAGCAACCAAACATACTGAGTATGTAACCCATCCCCTTGGCACGTTTTCCCACATGACATAATTCCAGGGCTCACCGTGTTCCACAAGACACCCCAGTCACAATAAAATGCACCCTGGATACTGTGCCTTACATCATAAACCAGTCAGGAGCAGGACTGTCCACACTGCAAGTTTTGTGGAGAAAAATCAAAGACCAGTACAAGCACTGAATCATTTGACAAGGGCAGGACTCCAGCCCCAGTAATTCTTCAGCTGTACTCCATCACATGCTTGTATTACTCTCATAAAGTAGTCCCTAAAGGCTTGCTGTGCCTGATACTGTATGGATGCCTAAAAGAGACAAGACGTAAAATAAAAAAGCAAATAAGGACAAAGATAAGAGTGATTTTTTTTTTTTTCACAGAGAAACGCACAGGAAATAAGATGACTGGCTACCTCTAAGTATGATTTTGACATTTAAACCACTAACAAGTTTTAGGTTGAGGTGACCACACATTGTGTTATATCTCAGTTAGCACTACATATTGGCAATAAGATTGTAAATTAAGCTGAAACTAAGTTTTGTAAGATTTGTCAGAGCTGCATAACTTTCAAAATCTGGAAAGTTGTCTATGAGTGTTCAGCTTTTTTTAATTATTATTTGATTTTTCCCCATCTCTTTTTAAGAATAACCTAGAAAATTATTTTGAGTGGATTGGAAAAAACCAAACGAATATTAATAGATTATAGAGAACATTAAAAAAACCCCTGAAGGAATATTAACATTGAGCTTATTTGTATATACAAGTCTTGAATTTTACAACCTGAAAACAGTGTTTCCACACAAGGAAATACTGCAGTATCTGCAATGCCAACATCATTACAGAACTGTTACAACTGAAAACAGATAACTATTTTAAGGAAATATTTAATAGAACATATGGGTAAATTTCCTTTTTTTAATTGTTCTTAAGGCTGCGTTACCTGGCAGAGATGCACCACAAAAAAAATTAAACAAAAAAAAAAAACAAAACAACAAAGCTTCAATTTTTCTAATCAAAACCCTGAAATACAACCAGGATGTAATGAGACTACAGTAACCCAAAGTAGTGAAGTTCTTGATGTTTGTTTGAGAGATCCAAAGAAACACATTTGAACTTGCAGCATCCAACTTCTGGATAAATATTTTGTTTGTACTATAATGAATGGACCGTTCTATTACAAAAGAGTATATTAAAAAGCATGAAGAATGAGAATACAAGTACATGAGAAGTAACGGTCAGTAGAAGGTCGGTATAAAATTAAATAGATCGTTCATTCTCTTCAGGATCTTATTACTAACCGAAACTCAACACCTTGGCTCTGATGGGACAGAAATCAGTCCTTTCGTACCCACGTGAAAAAAAAAAAAGCAGATGCAAATTTCATTCTAGCTACCACGTTAAGAAGTTAGAAAGGCAGAAAGCCCTAACTGTCCTAGCACATGAGCATTCTGAACAACATTTCCTCCCTTTACAAGCTGGTTCAGCCACATCTTAATACACTGCCTGCAAGGGGATTTGCCTGTAGATTTCCTGGCGCACTGTTGCAGCTGCAATTTCCATGATGTCATGCTTTGGTCATTCTTCCAACTATTTATTTCAGCAACCAAAATAAGGTAAAAGCTTGCAAGAAAAAACACATTGCAAGAAAAGAAGATGTATCAAGTCCTAAGTATTTGTCAGAGTTTACAGCACTATTTTCCAAAAATTTCCCCCCCCACTCATTTCCTTTTGAGTAGAACTCTGCATTAGACTAAATTTAAATCAATAAAAACTGTCCCCATACATGCTACATCTTGTAATTATTTGTCTTCAGAGCAGCTCTGAATTTTGTGCTAGTTCATAAATGTAATTAAAATGCTATTTACTTCTTGGTTTAGATCAATGACGACTGCATGCCAACTAATTTAACACCAACCAACTCCTGCAACGCTGTTCTAACAACTGTTTCCTCATTTAGCTCCCTCAGCATCTTATCATTAACCTTTGCTTATAACTAGTTCTCTGATCTGTTTTCAGTGGATAGAACAGTACTCACTGTCAAGACAATGTGAATTAACTTTTCAAGTAAAATTAATTTCCTCTAATAAACATTTTAAGAAAAAGGTATTCTTCCTACTACACCCCTTCATTTCTTTTTTCTACCAATCTGATCCTGGATGGGGAAAAAATATGCATGCTCCTATTCAAAAAAACCCAACAAAGTAATTCTGCCAGAACCAGAAGGGAATAGATCTGTTTAGTGGCTGGATTTCTTTAAT